TCCTTCCCTAGTCACCATTTGTTTGAACCGATATTGCTATATGAAGAAGGATGCGTAGGAATATGAGTGGTACAAATATTTCTACAGAGATCTTGTATCTTTACATTTTAAAAGCATCTGAAAGAAGCTGCTTAGGTGAAAGATCAAACCCACAATAAATTTAAAAATCCAGGAGAGTATAAGTACAAATCGTATAGGAAAGAAAGTGTGTATCTTGTTTCTCCCACATCCTCATCAGAAGACCATAGGCAGCCCTTGAGCCTCCCAAGGATCATTTTACTTGGGGGTCAGGGTGGAGCCTGGAAGTACAAAAAGGGGTGTCTCCCTCCCTCCACCCCTGTAGGGTAACAGCTGGGGCTGGGGACCCTAAAGGGGCCTGCACTGAGGGTCCAGTGCTGCATTGTCCTTGCCTGCCTGCTGCCCACCCCCCTGCCAGACCATTGGCCTGGCCACATTCCTGTGCGCTGCCTGCTGCACTGCCATGACTTAAGGCCCAGGCAACCTGGGAATGCCCGGCCTTGCCCTGGAGTCCTGCAGCTGCTGGTTTTCTGATTTAGAAACTCCTTTGCTTCCTCTGCTCCAAACAGCCCCAGCGTTGGAGGGAAAGAGGTTTAGAACAGAAACCAAGGCTTCCCACAATTGGTTCCGACAGTTTTATCTCCCTCATAAGTCAAGGCAGATAGATATTCCCCCTTTACCCAATGGTCTTGTTATAACATCTATCACAATGCATCAGGTCACCTTCTAATTCAATGCATCTCACTGCAGACTTTATCCAAGTGTCTATGCGCCTTTCATAATCTGGCTGCTGGCTTCCTCTTGTACCTGGTCTGCTCCACTCTGCACCTCACCCCATTGAACATTTCAGTTTTCCAGCCAAGAGAAGCGCCTTCGGCTCCTCTACTGCCCCAGGCACTCCCCCACCGCAGCACCTTTGCACTTGCTGGGCACTAGGCCTGTCCTGCTCTCCGTGGCTGGTGCCTCTCAGATGTCATCTTCTTGGAGACCCTTCCCTCCCACACGTCCAGTAAGCCCTCCAGTCACTCTGGTCACCACCCGCCCGCCTCAGCTCACTCTGCCTGTCATGACTTTCACCTAATTTATAACCCAGGGTTACTTTGTCGGTGTGTATCACCCGACTTCTGTATGGCTCTGCTCTGCAGCGGGGGTGGGGCTGGGGTGGGAGTAGGCGGGTGGTGGGAACGCTGAGGGGGGACCCGCGCCGGGATGACCCCGCGTGGACCAGCGCTTGACAAAGGATTACATCTTTGGTGGTCATTTCTCAGAGTCAGGAAGTGGAAACATTTCTAAAAATTCAGCATTTAGCCGAAACCGGTTTGGCTCAGTGGATAGAACGTCGGGTTGCGGACTGAAAGGTCCAGGTTCGATTCCGGTCAAGGGCATGTACCTGGGTTGCGGGCACATCCCCAGTGGGAGATGTGCAGGAGGCAGCTGATCGATGTTTCTCTCTCATCGATGTTTCTAACTCTCTATCTCTCTCCCTTCCTCTCTGTAAATAATCAATAAAATATATTTAAAAAAATTCAGCAGTTAGTGCTAACTACCTAGCACTCCATAGTCTGTTTTGGGAAGAATGAATCTGCAGGCTAAGAACCCCGGAGTGGGCGGGGCCAAGGAGAGGTCAGGTGCCGAGCTGGCCCCGCCCCTCGCACAGCCTGGCGCAGGCGCAGTGCCGCTGACGACTCCAGGGTCTGCGCGGAACCCTTAAAGGTGGAACGCGGGAGTCGGTGCCCTTTGCGAATCCGACCGACAGTAAGAAAACCATGGCGGTTTGGGAGCTGAGCCCAGGGTGGAGGGAGTATGGAGACACGGCTTCTGGGCGACGGGGCGCCCCGGAGTCCAGCCTCGGTACCTCAGCCGCCTCAGGTCCTCTGAGCGGGGCCCTTGCTCGCACGCACTGATTTTCGAGAGAGAACTCTCCACAGCAGCACCGTGGCCTCCTCGTGCTTCTCGAATGTTAGGATTTCAGACAAAACTGGTTCAGGAAAGGACCCCTCGGCAGGTGCCTTGGGGAAGAGGCGGGAAGGGGCGGTTTTGTTTTCCGGGCTGACATTTCACTTAAATGGCCCGGGACCACCCACAGCGTCCTCGGGGTGCTCCCAGCCTGGCCTTCCCGGCTGCAGGGCCGCCCGGTTCCCGTGCCATCATGGAGGCTCATGCTCTTCAGCCAGGGATGCCCACGGAGCCCAAGGCCTGAGACCAGAGCAGCTTTCCCCGAAATCTCCAGTGAAGGGGCCCAGGTGCACACTCCCAGCTCCACCGCAGGAAGCACTGAACTCAGGGTAACAGGCTGGCATTTGCAGGGCTTGCAGAACGCCTACGGATGCCTCGCTACACCCTTCCGCTGGGCCCCATTTTATTGTGATTATTCTTGTTATTAGATAAAGAAACTTAAACTCAGGAGAGTGAAAGGACTTACTTAAGGTTCATGACAATACCGGTGGAAGCTCGAGGTCAAGCCCAAATTTAATGATGTTAAAGCCCCATGTCATTTTATGCTGCCCCTTAACTTAAGAAATGTTCACAGGAAGAATCTTGCTTGCATTTACTATTATGTGGTTTTAAGATATGTGTGCTTGACAAAATTTCTCATGTGTTATAACCCAAAGGAGGCTTTATCATCACTCCCAAACTGCCTATTCAGAACTCCCTTCAGTTCCCAGAAAAAATGTTTAAAAATTCTTTATTTTTATTTTTTAAAAATATATTTTATTGATTTTTCACAGAGAGGAAGGGAGAGAGATAGAGAGTTAGAAACATGGATGAGAGAGAAACATCGATCAGCTGCCTCCTGCACATCCCCCACTGGGGATGTCCCCCCAATCCAGGCACATGCCCTTGACCGGAATCGAACCTGGGACCTTTCATTCCGCAGGCCAACACTCTATCCACTGAGCCAAACCGGTTTTGGCTGTTTAAACGTTCTTTAATGCATTGTAGAAACATTATTCCATTTAAGTGCTGTCCAATTTTACTTTCACAGAGCCCCAGAAGTATAGTGAATTACCAGGTATGTGCCTCAATTCAACCATCATTCTTTTTTCATGGACCATTTTATTATTATTATTAGCCATGACTTTTTAAAAAAATCTTTATTGTTAAAAGTACATCCTCCTTTCCCCCCCATTGACCCCTTTCAGTCCTCCCCCGCCCCCCACCCCAGTCCTTTACCACACTATTGTCTCTGTCCATGGGTTATGCATATATACATGCAAGTTCTTTGGTTGATGTCTTCCCACCTACCCAACCTCTCATGGACCATTTTAATTCCTCTGAATGAATGAGTGAGGCTTAGATTTCCCAAACCTTTCATGTTATAATTATGTCTTCATAAGCCTCTCTGATTGACTTCATAATCTGGCTTTTTACTGACCTTGCTGCCTATTCTTACCCATGTTCCTTTCCTCATTGACTTCACCTCTACTGAATCTGAGAACTCTCCTCAGATGTGACTCAGGTAGACCACCTTCACTTGTGTACCCTGCTCACCACCTTCTTCAATCCTGTCGCTGAAAAGATGATCAGCAGACATTAATTTGCAGACTCTGATCTACCTCGTTCAAGCCTGTAGCCATTTCACACAGCCACTCAGATGTTACAGGTACCCGAAAGATCAGGAAACAGTTACTTGGTATCCGTTGTAATACATTTCTTCCCCTCTCAATTGGACATTAAGACCTATTCATTGCATAAGCTTTAGGTTTTGAGATTTTCACAGCATAAAGCCCATCACTGACAAAGTAACGAAGGAAATGTTCCACATGTTAATATATAGTTGAGAAAAGAGGGCATTGTAGATTTCTTTTTTTTAATTCAGGGCCTTAATTATTCGTGATTATTTGTACCTTTATATTTTTGGCAAGTACACATGATTAAACTCTTTATAAATTCAGAAAATGAATAATGTCTTAAAATCAAGGACAGCCCTAAGGCATCAGAGAGATTGTTTTTTTTTTCAGTATCATGAAGGAAAATGGTTGCCAGCAAGCAGTGTGGCCAGGTTATCCAAGGAGACAACTGTCTCTGCTGCCCAGGGACCAGCTTTGGAAGCTTCCTTGTTGTCCAGAGCTGCTTCACTGATTCACTGTACAGGCTGGCCTTCCCTGCAGCAGTCAGCATTTAAAAATTTGTCTTCAGCCCTGCTTGTCAGCAGTCAGCTTCAGTTGGAAAAAGTAATTTCATTTTCATATTTGCTCATTTCATTCATTCACTCAATCAACAGACCATCAATCTCCTATCATATGCCAAGAACTGTGTTTGGTTCTGGAGATGAAAAAATAAGATAATGGTTCCTTCTAGCACTTGAAGAGCTTACAAACTAGTGATAGAGGAAGATGTACCAATAACTCAATAAAAATAATGCTTTGACTTTATTTGTATTATTGGAATTTTATAATTCCATTCATATACACGAAGTGCTCACATAACCATGCTGGTATGTTCTGCAACTTTTAAGTGAAATGATGTAAAACAAAAACAATTTTACCATATAGATTAATTAATAAAATAAGAGTTAAGTTCCTGTGGACATTATAACGCAACAAAATGATGTTGAATTTGAGGACCTGCGGTACATTAAAAATTGAAATACACCTTTAAGGAAGGTCTAGGGATATGAGAAATCCACATGAATGTGTAAGTTATTTAGAGAGTTAACACTGAAGATTTGCATTCTGAAAACAGCTTTGAACCTTAGATGCAGATGAACTTTGCTTTAGTTGCTTATAAAATTTATGCAGAGGTATCTTCTAACAGGGGTCAGTAACTTGGCGAGGGGAGTACTGCAAATTAAGATCCTACCTTGGTGGCAGGTCAATTTTTTCTGTTCTTCAGGTTATAGTCTGAAATAGGAGCTACAGGATGGGATGACTAAAACAATTTACTGCCTTTGGGTACCCATAACCCTATATTGGCATATGCATGGCTTTCTAAGTTGTTCCATCATCATTTTCACCACCAGAGTTCAGTGCAACTTTTCAGTTAGCCAGGGCCTGTAGGAATGGTGCTGAAAAGTACTGTGGCTTAAAAAATAATACTTATAGTTTACTATGAACTTATTGCTTAAAATGTATCCTATTTAATATTCACAATCACTATGAAATTCATAAGTTTCAGGTGTATTTAAAATAAGTCTCTGTGTCAGATTTGCGATATTCTTTTTTTTTCCAGATGAAATCTTTATTGTTCAGATTATTACAGTTGTTCCTCTTTTTTCCCCCCATAGCTCTCCTCCACCCAGTTCCCACCCCACCCTCCGCCCCTTCCTGTACCCCCACACCCCTTTCCCCCCAAGAATTGTTAGTCCACTCCCTTTCTATGCCCCTGGTTCTATTATATTCACCAGTTTACTCTGCTCATCAGATTTTTTATTCACTTGATTTTTAGATCCACTTATTGATAGATATGTATTTGCTGTTCATAATTTTTATCTTTACCTTTTTCTTCTTCCTCTTCTTAAAGAATACCTGTCAGCATTTCATATAATACTGGTTTGGTGGTGATGAACTCCTTTAGCTTTTTCTATCTATGAAGCTCTTTATCTGACCTTCAATTCTGAATGATAACTTTGCTGGATAAAGTAATCTTGATTGTAGGTTCTTGGCATTCATCACTTTGAATATTTCTTGCCACTCCCTTCTGGCCTGCATAGTTTCTGTTGAGAAATCACTGACAATCGTATGGGTATTCCCTTGTAGGTGACTGACTGTTTTTCTCTTGCTGCTTTTAAGATTCCCTCTTTGTCTTTTGCCCTTGGCATTTTAATTATGATGTATCTTGGTGGGTCCTTGTTGGATTCCTTTTGTTTGGGGTTCTCTGTGCATCTTGGACTTGTTAATCTATTTCTTTCACCAGGAAGGGAAATTTTCTGTCATTATTTCTTCAAATAGGTTTTCAATATCTTGCCCTCTCTCTTCTTCTGGCACTTCTATAATTCGGATGTTGGTACGCTTGAAGCTGTCCCAGAGGCTCCTTACACTATCTTCGTATTTTTGGATTCTTTTTGCTTTTCTGGTTGGGTGTGTTTGCTTCTTCGTATTTCAAATCTTTGACTTGATTCTGGGGATCTTCTTGTCTGTTGTTGGATCCCTGTATATTATTCTTTATTTCAGTCAGTGTATGCTTAATTTCTAGTTGGTCTTTTTTCATATCCTCTTACTAAATTTATAGGCGGTTTCTAGAAAATTCTTGAAAAACCTTATAACCGTGGTTTTGAACTCTATATCCAGTCGTTGGCTTTCCTTCATTTCTGTCATTTGTGACCTGTTTCTTTGTCTCCGCATTTTTTATGCTTCCCTGTGTTGGTAGAGTGGCTTTGTGTGCTAGGTGTCCTATAGGGCCCAGTGGCTCAGCCTCCCCAATTACCTGAGGTGGACACTCTTGGTGCACCCCCTTGTGGGCTTTGTGCACAGTCTTGTTGTAGTTAAGCCTTGATTGTTGTAGGTATCACTGGGAGGAACTGACCTCCAGACCAATTAGCTGTGAGAATCAGCTGTGTCTACGGTGGGAGAACTTCTGTGCTGAAGACACCCTTCTGGGGCAAGACTTGCTTCAGTGGGGCTTTGGTGCTCACTGAGTCTGCCCCCTGAGTGTGTTCCTTATGGATCTGAGGAGTTGTAATCTGGATGGTCCCACTCTGACCACTGGGTACACTGGCTCTTGGATCTAAGGAGGTGCTAATTTAGCCTCTGCCTGAGGCTACCCAGCAGGAGCTATGAAGAGATCTGCAGATTCCCCTTTCTGGATTGGAGTTTGGAGGTGCCCAGATGAGTCCCAGATGTGAAGCAATGCAAGCTGCTGTGGGGCCTTGGGCTTTCTCTTGGAAGTTCTGGGTCTGTCTCGCCCAACTGCAGTTTATTGGGTACTTTTCAGATTGCAAAGGGCCGGGCATTCATATGCAAAAGCCTCTGCAGCAGCTTGGGTGCAGCAGGGTCTCAGGGAATCAACAGGGTGGAGCAAGCAGCTATGGCTGATCCTCAGCCCTGCCCTAAGGGCCCCCCCAGCACTGAGTCTCAGTGTCCTGGTAATTGCTGCAGACACCCCTGAGAGAAAGCCGCCCTCGAGTTCTGAGTTCTGCCTGCTGCCAGACAGTCCAGGTTCTCCCTGTATGAGTCTAGGTCCCCAGAGACTCACCTGGAACTGGAGTTCAAAGCAGTCGGGGGCTTGTGACTCCCTCCCGCCAGCCCTTGCCTGTGTGCCTCTGTACCTCTGCACTTTACCTCCCTACCTCCTCTGAGTCTCAGGGTGCTTTTCTCTTTTTTTCAAGTTGTAGTATTTCCACTCAGCCAGCCTTCCTGTGGTTCTGGATGATGTCCTTTTTGTCTTTTAGTTGTTTTTTGAATTTGTTGTGGGAGGCAGCAATTTCCAGTGTTTATGCCGGCATCTTGGTTTCTCCAGATTTGTGATATTCTTATGTCTATGTCTTTTGTCCTATGGTTCATCTTGGCATCAGACATAGGGCAGTTCAACATGAGGCCCTTGCCCTAAACAGCTCCCAGTGCTAACTAAGAACTGGCAATTTACTACATTGTTTTCAGTGATTGTTCAAAAGGAATCATCAAGGTAAACTTTGTGGATTTTCTTTGGCTCACTCCGTGGTTGGCAAACTGCAGCTCACGAGCCACATGCGGCTCTTTGGCCCCTTGAGTGTGGCTCTTCCACAAAATACCACGTGTGGGTGTGCATTTACAGTGCGATTGAAACTTTGTGGCCCATGCGCAAAAGTCGGTTTTGGGCCTGGGCGAGTCTATTTTGAAGAAGTACTGTTGATATTTGGTTCTGTTGACTAATTAGTTTGCCGACCACTGAACTAACTAGACTCCTTTCAACATTGAAATTCTAGACTTTAGAGACAAGAATAGACCTGGGATGTGGGGAGGAGATGTGAGAGGCCTGTAAGTGGAAGTATCTGAGTATTGGACTGCCAGCTAGAATTAATAATAATTTCATAGACTTGGGTGATGGTGTCCATAATTTTCTCCAGTATTTGTATGGTACTTATAAAAACAATTGTTTATATCTAGTAATTCATCTGCAAGTCTTACTTGATTTTGAAGCTGCAGAACACCTCAACTGATAGCTGGGATTGTTGGAATTTAGTTTTTATTTCTAATAACAAAACATTTTGAAGTCTACATTGAGACTCTGGGAAGGACCTTTACTTCAAAATCCTTACCGCTTCAGGATCTTTCTGACCTTGAAGAAAGGGAAAATGAAGGTATTGTGGTTGCATCACTTCAGAAGCAAAGCTGAAGTTCTGTGCTTTACAGGTGGTGTCATCCTGAGTGCAGGAATCTCGGAGTTGGCATGGCCGAGGAGCCTTTGGGTAAGCTGGAGGAGGGTCTGTTTCTGGAATGTGTTGGAGTAGTGGGGACCTCTCCTTTTTTCTTTCATTTAAAACTCATCTTTTCGGATACATCATCAAGCTCTCCCCTTGTTAAACCACTAAGTCTGAGCAGAATTTTTCTGCCTTTCAACACCGGTTTTTTGCTTGTTTGTTTTTGTTTTTTAATTTTAGGCAATACCTGAAAGAACCTTTAACTTTAAAATTTTAGAGATGACTTCCTGCTAGGATGCTTAGGAGGAGGGAAATTTTGGTTAAGATTTTGCTTCAAATACTGATCTCGTGTAGCCTTCCATTAAAATTATCTTCCAAAGATTTAAATAAACTCTCATGAAAATATTCAATCCTTTGCCTCTTATAGAGGGGCTTGAGGAGAAAGAGTCAAATGTAAATAGGATATTCTGATCAGTTCTGAGTTTTTTCCTAAAATCTATAGCACTTTGGCTTAGGGTTTTAAGTCAGAGGCAGGGCTGTTTGTGGATGGAGTGGATTAACTGCTGCCCTGGCCTGCTTGGGTTGCATAAGTTCCTCCCTCCGCCACCCCACGCACCCCCACCCCCGGCAATACCCTCGGGATCTCTTGGCATCAAAGGGTCAGGAGGGGGACACCTTTGGGTGCTCCCCTGCCTTCCTCTCCAAGCTGGAAAGGGAGACAAGGAGGGAGGCCCTGATGAGATATATGCCACAGTACAGATCCGCCTGGGCTACCTATAGTACCCCCCACACCCCCATCCTATCCCAACCTCACTGCATGCCCTATAGTGGTCCCTTCATGGGCTCAGTCTCTTCTAGGCTCCTTGGAGACATAGCTCCCTTGACTGACCATGCTCCACCCATTGTTAGTTCTGGTCAAATAGCCAGAGGGAAGAAAAGTCTGAAGATGATCCAGAGGGACCTCAGCAATTCCGATGGGCCTTCTCCCTGCACCCATTTCTGCAGGCCTACACCTCCTGCCTGGCCCCAGCACCTCCCCACTCAGCTATCCCTTTTTCCTTGCCTGCACTCCCATTGGAGGGGCCAGCAGGGG